TTAGGGTTATGGCACATTGTTATCCACCCTTCTCGGGATGTTACACAAGATTACCTGCAATTTCATCGGTTTCTGTCTATTCCTGTGTCTTCACTATTACTTTATAGCAAACCAAAACGCGAGTGCTCAGGACGACAACCGACTTAACGCAGACCACCAACTAGAACAGCTACCCAATGACATGAATGGAACCACCTCAAAACCCGAACCCTGGATCCAACTGAAACTAGGCCATTTTCTTCTTTGCGGCAGGAAAATTTGTGTGCAGTCCCACCCCTCAGTGCCGCCCCTTCCACCCTCCATTGCCCCCTTTACTCACTTTTTCTCGTACACTCCCACCCCCTCCCCCATGACCCTCGCGACTACACATCGTTGATACCCGTGATTTTCGCCCAGGGCTCACCGCGGGCGCACTATGCATGGTAATTTAATACCGCAAGATCGCTGGGCGATCCGTCAGTGTTTGCACCGGTTGAAGCACGAGATCCGGCCTCTTGCCACTCAGGTCCTAACACGAATGCTCAGGTGGCCTGTCCGTCTGTCGCTCGGCATGCGTACGTACTTGCATTTCTGTACGTACCGACGCTGAAACCTGCTTGCCCGGCTAGTGGCTGCCTTGACCCAACCAATCAGCAGCGAGTTCTGCGTTGCATCAGTGCACCCGCTAGTCACTCCGCGCTCCCTACAACGGGCCACGCGGGAGTTGCGCTGGGTCAACACGGTAGCCGGACGGCACGCGTTATTGGGCTGCGCGCCCATAGCAAATGTCACACGTGGGGTGTAGTGGCACACCTAGGCGCAGGTTCCCACCGCATCAGTCACCTGCACTCGACCCCGCCTCCGGTCTTCTTGACTTTGCCTTAACACCGGAATAAGGAAAGTGATGGAAAGGAGAGAGAGTGCGATAGATGCGTCGCAAGTCTGCTATCATTATAAACTAACTAATGCGCATGTCATCGTCCCTGAGCCCGCCATGCTGCGGGCACTCGGTGAACGTCATTGGGGACGACGGCTGACCTGACATCTCCCTCCACCAGCTCCCAATGTGTGCGAATGCTTTTTCTAACAGGTAATACCCCGCACTGTACATGAGAAAATTGTGTTTCCTCCTGACTGGCAGCACGACTAAATGTCCAGCCAACTTCTTTTGAGGATTTATCCAGTTGGAAAGGTCCGTACTGTTTAACTGGCTTTTGGTAAGGACGCAGCATGGGACCCCACCCAGAACGCGGATGATGGGTCATCGTGTCTTACGGGACCGGTGGAAGTAGGGGTTGCATGCGTAGAGTTAATGGATGGCAAAAAGAGCGGTGAAAATGGATTAAGTTTTGAAAAAATGTTCTAATTCCGTGAATAGGTTCAAAGAGATCCGATCTTGGCCTTGAAAGCGATTCGGAAGACTGAGCACTAGTGACATGTAACATCAAAGAACCAAAGGAAGCCAAACTTAGCGTCTGCACAATAAGACGCCAAGGTCAGAGATCGAGGCAGCGAAATAGCCAATAGAAATCCAAGGAAGAATGACTGCGGCAAACCCCATAAGAGTAATGTGGGAGCGTCGACCCAACGGCACGACATAATGATGCAGAACAACGGCACATAGGAAGGCCGCCAAGGTGGCCAGCAAATATAAAGTATACCAAATTAGCGTGTATACCAGCCGGAAAATAAGCTGGACGCGATATTTCGGCGAGCATTTATGTTATCTTGAGAAAAAGCACCCAGCGTATCAAAATTAAAAACACTACTTTCATAGGCATCAGTAGGCAGTCATAAGTAATGTGCAAAGATTAGTTGAATATTGCGTCCTTTCCTGATTTTTTGTTACTCCTTTCCCTCCCTCGTTATACACAGTCCTCCAGACCACCTCTGATACGTTTGGGTTTCTGCAAATTTCAACGCCACGAGAAACCACTAGTACGACTAGACTCAGTAGAAACGACATACCAGGCACATGGCACATGTTTCCGCTTTGCAATAAACTACAGCCTGCACAGGAACCAATGCATGGATGTGTGTACTGCACAGAGCGGTTTAGAATGGGAATACATTTTAACAAAGAAACAGTGAAAAATCGACTTTCCCGTTAGCCAATAGAAGCGAAGAGATGAGTCCCAGGAAGCAGTCTTGAAGAAGAAGACACGATTGCCGGGACAAGAGCTTCATTATCTTGACGTTCCCGTTAGCGCTTATTCTGAAACTCAGCACTTTTCTACATCTCTCTGCCCTACCCAAAAGACCTCTGATCCCATCCATCTCATATTACAGACAGTCAAGAGAACTACTTCAGAGAATTAGCTGTAAGCGGTCCTCTATAATGTCCACGCTCAGTTGAAATGACTGATTAGGTCGTGTACTTTTTCTCGTCTGTTTTCGGTGCCTTATGGATTCAAAGATGATTTATAAGAAACTGCACAAAAGTATTTTTCCTTGTATTCACTTGTTAGCAGATTAAGTCTTCTTCGGATTTCATACTCGAAAAAAGAGTACCTTTCGGTTTTAAAAATTTTGTCATTGTGAGATTTGTAAGAATCCGTTCGTTTATTAATGCTATTTATGAAGAATACAACATGCTCTACAGTAGTTACACAATCCTGTGAACCCTTTATGGCGTATAAATAGAGCAGAGAAGCGTGTAATTTTTTCTACAGGATGTAGCTTCGAAACCCTAGGCGCGGATGTGACTGCAGGTCGTCAGTGAGTTAAAAAATACCAACTTAACACCATTATGGGGAAAATTTGTGAATGTTCTCCATGTGATTCCACTTTTGAAGATGAAAGACATTGGAATTCGTCTGCGAGCCGCAATAACAGAGTTTATTTTGACAGCAAACTTGTCAGCGAGCTTTTTTCGCCTGTTTGGGGGTCGACTGGTCACAACCTCTTATTTTATATGTTCATTCGCCTCCCGCGGCGAGGGTTCATTTGCAGAGATACCAACAAGGACGCCCAATCTGCGAATATAAATTTTTCAGAAAACACATTGCGCTGCAACGAGCTTTCATGAACTGGCGATACAAGCGAAGATGCGAGTTCCAGGAACTAGTTGGTCAGAAGAAGAAGAAGAAGAAGAAGCGATCGCTGGAACAAGAGCTTTATTCGCCTGACGTTTCGGATTCTCACTTGAACCCATCATCAGAGACAGTAGCAGAAACGGGTGCTTCGCGCACAGGAAGTTGCAGTATTTATAGGATGCAGTCGCTATGCTACCGCATACCTATAGCAATTAACCGCGCTCCCCGTCATCAGGAATGGCTGCCCGCTGGTGCGCTAATTGCTTGATGGTCGGCATGCAAGTTGTTAATTGCTGAAATTTAATCACCCGTGTTGGATGCTGGCGTGATGATTGCCCGGCCATCTGGCTCACCGGCTTGCACGCTCCCCGAGTGGTCAATTACCTTGGCCAGCCTATGCCTCAGCACGGAATATGGAGTGGGTATGTCGTTGCACTTGTTGATAGACTGAGGTCCCATGAACCATAACTCAAGCAACTGGCGGCCCACACGATCATCCCCTCTCGCGAGAAGTTCGGTCTCATCGAACTTGAATGTGTGGCAGGGTCTCGTCGAACTGGCCGCGACCTGAGAGTTGGTGTCATTTCTCCGTACCGCTGTCGCGTGTTCGGCAATTCGCGTCCGGAGCATTCTTCGAGTTTCTTCGAGGTAGTTGCTTTGTCCGCAACTGCATCAGATCCAGTAAACGACTCCAGATGTTTCTTGCTGTAGCAGTGGGTCATTTGGTCTCATCACCTGAACTGTCGCTGTTTGGTGGTTTCTGTGTCAATTACGCGTGTGGAGCGCCCCATCTATCGATCGACGAATGACACCGTCGGCAACAAGACCTCCGTAGCCATACGAGATCACTGAAGATGAACCTCATCATCCTGTCTTGGTGACGCCACGAGATAGCGGCGACGTGGCGCCGAGATTCCTTGCATTCTCTGTTTTGACTCAGCAAAGTGGAATACATCAATGAAACCTGGGCCCAGCAAGTAGAGTAGATCAATGTAAACCGTCCAGATATAAACTAACATTGGAAGGGAGCACTCACCGATCGTTCTTACGGAACTCGCTGGTTCCGTTGTGCCTTACGGGCTCTCTCTCTCTCGAGCCCAACCAGCAGTCGCACAGCGGCGCATGATAGATAGGCAGTATGTTATTACCGACAAAGACATGGGAGAATGGAATGGCCATTTGTCGGTAATAACCTACCGCCTATATCATGCGCCGCTGTGCGGCTGCTGGTTGGGCTCGAGAGAGAGAGAGCCCGTAAGGCACAACGGAACCAGCGAGTTCCGTAAGAACGATCGGTGAGCGCCCCCTACTATTGTATATTCCCCATCGAAACCGACAGGGCGACGGACTCGTGGCCCAGTGGTTAGAGGCGTTGGACTTCTAACTAACAGGCCGCGAATTCGAGCCTCAGATGTTCCACACTTCGGGGTTGGGCATGACTGGCTGACGACGGCTGATAAGCCAGAAATGGCCATTCCAGTCTCCCTTGTCTTTGTCGTAATCGCATACTGCCTATAAACTAAAATCCCTGCTTAAATGATATAAGTAGGCTTACCGTAATGTGAGGAGGAAGAAGGTCACACATCTATTCGTTACCGTCGGGGGTAGCGGAGAGGAGATGGTTACTATAGAACTATTTTCTAATCCGAGCGACGCGTATAAGCCAAGAAACAGACTTCGGTTTTTATACGGTACTATTGATAGAACATAGGGAATAATGAAAAACGTACAAAGCCCAACAGTGGATACCCTAGCCAAAGAATTTCCTTGTAACCATTCGAAAAAATCGAGTTTTCAGCTCAAGGTCAGAGTATAAAACCAGTTGATTAATGCTTCAAAGACTGTTATAAAAGGGAAAAGGATAATGTCATTGAGGTGTCAAAAATGGAAGCGAAGAGGACGTGGAAAATTCCAAACGTTGAAACATGTGCATTTAGACCTCGAAAAAAAAATATGATCCAGTCTTCCTCTCTGTCTGTTGGCATTTCATTGGCTTAGTGACTCCAGGTGGCTTTGAGATGGAGGAACAGGGGGCAGCGGGGATACGCCGCGATTCGGAACGTAGGGAATTTGTCGCTCCACCATCGTAATGCAGTCCGGGATCGGGCATACGGAGAGGCAGAGGGTACAGCCTGTACAGTCATCAGTCACGAGAGGAAAGTGTGTCTTGCTGTCAAAGGTGATGGCCTGGTAACCAGAGTCGTTGCAGGCCAGATAACATTTGCCGCAGTTTATGCACATATCCTCATCCACGACCGCTACGACCTGGTGAGTAATTTAAAGAAGTTAGAGTGAAGTGGTGGGCTCCAAATGGGTACACTTTTAATTAACTCGAAAAGGCGCGCCCTTAGGATTTATAGTACACTCGTTAAGTATTTTTATCCCAACTACAGTAGGTGGGATAACTCATGAAATGTCAACCAAAATTCCAAAATGCGTTCTCGTTTCGAAAAGATTAATTAAGTAGGGTCGTAAAACTAGTCAGCCTGCAACATAGTTCTATATTGATCCGGTTACCTCGGAGTGTCGGCATTCGAATGAACTTATTCCCGACTGCATGCAAAAACCACACTCTGTATAAAATGGCTACTTAGGTAGCATGCAATTTTCTCATGGATTTTCGATGCCCTTGAAAATTCAATTATATTTTATGACAAACACGCATAAAAATATTCATTCTTTTACTCATTCAGTAGAAATCACGTCTTCTTTTGATTTTATACACGAAAGAGGAGTATAATTCCGTTTTTAAAAATTTTTTAATTGTGAGATTTTTTAATACCTTTAAATGGCCGTTCATAAAACGTCATGTCTCTGCATTTACGGATGTGACTTCCGACGTTCACAATATTGCTAAAATCCACTGCTAAATTTTATGAACCCCGTATGGTTTCCTCTTAATACCGGAGGGAAATGAATTGTTTCACATATTCGGAAAATATATGGCTTGTAGTTTTGAAACCCTGAATGCAAGTGTAACAGCAGTTCGAGTTCAAAATTATTTGGGAATTAGAAAAGGTTTTTTAAAACCGAATTATACTCTTCTTCCGAATAAAAACTACGTGATTTTCTACCGAATAAGTAAAAGAATGAATATGTTTATGCACGTTTTTCCTGAAATATAATTAAATTTTCAAGGGCATCGAAAATCAATGAGAAAATTGCATGCTACCTAAGTAGTCATTTTATACAGAGTGTGGTTTTTGCATGCAGTCGGGAATAAGTTCATTCGAATGCCGACACTCCGAGGTAATCGGATCGATATAGAACTATGTTGCAGGCTGACTAGTTTTACGACCCTACTTAATTAATCTTTTCGAAACGAGAACGCATTTTGAAATTTCGGTTGACATTTCATGAGTCAGCCCACCTACTGTACTTCTCACAAGACGCCAAAAAACAAACTTTCAGGGTTGTGGGGCAGGTCTCAGAAGACTGACCTGCTCTCCATTGTTCAATTGGCCATATGCTCCAACCTTGTCCAGCGATCGGCCGATGATACTCTGCACGGATGCGGCGGGTTTCTCTGCAGCAGTCTGCACTTTCGCGGGCAGTGTCTGCTCGATGGAGGCTATGCCCTCGGTCCTGGAACAGTCCTGCTGCCACGCGATCGCTCGCTGTTTCAGGCCAGGACCGAAATGTGGAGTGTTCTGCGCGAGAGACGCCGAAGCCTTGACTGGCTTGCCTAGTTGGTGTTTCGGTGTCGGTTCACTCTGGAAGTCCCAGCCGTCTGCATTGTTAGACAAAATAAACTGGTTACTTGCAATAAACAAGTAGTTATCGTTTAAAAATATTTAAATTTCGATATGATCACCGTTTCTAGCATCCAAATAGAGGCCGGCTTTCAGTCCGCTTACAAGGTCCTCAATGATGGTGAAGTCCTGGTTCTGCACAGCGCTGCATACCTAGAAAGGAAATAAGGCGAATAAATACTCGCCATACAGGTGTCTTACGTAGGAGGACGTTCAGAGGGTCGGCTAGGACGCAGTAAGCATAATGAAAGTGCGATTCTCTAGTATCATAACCAAAGAGGAAGACGCTAGCACTGGGATTGATATGGATTGAGTCTACATTTTTGGATCTAATCGGCAATCATTCATCATCGGAGACAGGCAGTGTCCACCGCTGCTGCGCCTTTGGGTTTGCGTGCGCATGCTGCCGTGAGGCTGCGTGGATCGTTGAGTGCGTCTAGCAGACTCCAGGACGACTGCCGAGTTGGCCGATCGAGGCAGATGGATGTTGCAAGCAGCCCCCTTCTGAGGTTATGTGACGGTAAGGTACCTTCGCAAAGTACTATAGGCTGGGGGGAGGGGGGGCAGGCGCACTGACGAACGAACGGAGCTCTTGTCCCAGCGATCGTGTCTCCTTTTTCGTAACTGCTTCCTAAAACTCGACTCTTCGCTCCTATTGACAAATGTATTCTTTCTTCTGTCAAATTGATAGGAAATTACGTCTTTTTTAGCTTTTATACTTAAGAAGAAGGATCCTTCAGTTTAAAAAAACGTTTTCAAGTCCTGAATACTTTGAACCCGACCTGCTGTTTCACTTGCATTCAGGGTTTCCAAACTACAAGTTGTATACTTTCCATGTTTAAAAAATCACACTCTTCTATACGCCGGTGGGAAGATGTCATAAAGGGCTCATAGAATTTTAAAATTAACGCGGACCATGCTGTCCAGTTTTTAAGCAGAATTAGTAAACATGTTGATGCGATGTTGCATGAACATTTCGCGGTCTCAAAAAACTCATACCTAGAGACTTCTTTAAAACCTGAACTACTCTCTCCTCAGGTAGAAAACTTAAAGACGTTATTTGCTACCAATCAAGCACAAGAATGTTTTTTGTCCATGTTTTATCTAAAGCATATTTGAACTTCAGTAGTAGTGAACGCCTCTTCTTCTTCTTTTAATATTTGAACTTATAAGGGGACCGAAAATCCGTGGTGAATATGCATACTACTTAAGTAGCCATTTTACAGAGTGTAGCCCATCTAGGCAGCTGCAAAAAAGAACGCTCAAAAGCAGGCATCCTGACGTGACTGTAATATCTCGTGACTCTGCCGCACGACGACCAGTATTAAAGCCCTACTTAAGTAGTATTTTCGAAATAAACACACATTTCAGAGTTTCAGTGAGCATTTCATGAGATGGCACACCTAGTAAACTCAAAACCCGAGATTAGCTTCATGAACTGTCCGGATCAAGTGTTATTATTCATGCCACAGCATCCACAGGAACTGACGCGCTCCACAACGCTGGTTGAGTGAAGTGGGCGAATAGTTTGCGAGCTGCGCTACTCAGTCAGAATGGATCCTTTTTATTGGATGTTTGGATGTGTGATGCTTGCCAGACCCTGGCACCCGAAGTCTGAGGGCGCGCAGCAGTCTGCATCGGCACAACGTGACCAGTCTGACGTCCGGATCCGCTACTTACGCGCTTGGAAAACGAAGCTGCCGGTAGCCAACTCACACCTTACGCTCCACCACAGCGGCCCGCACGACACTTCTGGTAGACACCGCGTGGCGATCGCCCTTTTACTAATTGAGCGGGCACCAGTCAGTGGCCGGTTCGCTCACGTGCGACTGAAGGATAATTTTGCAAACATCTCTCTCGTCCGGTGTATGTACAGTAGGTGGGCTAACTCATGAAATGTCTACCGAAATTCCGAAATGTGTCTTCGTTTCCAAAAGTTTAATTATGTAGGGTTGTAAAACTGGTTAGCCTGCAACATAATTCTATAATAATTCAGTTACCACAGGATGCCGGCTTTCGAATGAACTTCCTTCCGACTGCATGCAAAAACAACAGTCTGTAAAAAATGACTGCTTAAGTAGCATGCATTTTTCTCATTGATTTTCGATGCCCCTAAAAGTCCAATTTTATTTCATCGAAAACATGCATAAAAACATTCATTCTTTTGCTAATACGGTAGCCAATTACGTCTTCTTCTAATTTTATGCTCGAAGGAGGAGCATGATTCGGTTTGAAAAAAAGTTTCTAACTGTGGGACTTTTAAATATCGTGAAATGGCCGTTCATAAATCGTCATGTCTCTGCATTTACCAATTTGGCTTCTAAATTCCATAAAATGGATCAAATCCACTGCTAAATTTTATGAAACCTATATGGTCCCCCTTTATTACCGTAGAGAAATGTGTGATGTTCCGTACGCGGAAAAGATAAGGCTTGTAGTTTGGAAACCCTGAATCCAAGTGTAAGGGTAGAGCGGGTTCAAAATCATTCTGGAATTGGAAAACTTTTTGAAAACCGAATTATGCCCTTCCTTCGAGCATAAGATTGGAAGAAGACGTAATTGTCTACCGAATGAGCAAAAGAATGATTATGCTTATGCATGCTTTCCATGAAATATAATTGAATTTTTGAGGGCATCGAAAATCAATTAGAAAAGTTCCTGCTACATAAGTAGTCATTTTTACAGAGCGTTTTTGCATGCAGCCTGAAGAAATTTCGTTCGAAAGCCGGCATACTGAGGTAACTGAAATATTATAGAATGATGTTGCTTGCTGCTAGTTTACAACCTTAATTAATTAATCTTTCCGAAATGAAAACGCATTTCGGAATTCGTGTTGACATTTCATGAGTTAGCCCACCTACTGTACACGTGGCGGCCATACAGCCAGGCGGATCAACAGCATTTTAGCTGGTGCAAGGTTCCGCGCCTGGGTTCACGATGGCAGGTCGATGCGCGGTGCCGAGACTGGTCGGGCCTGAAAGTTCACCTCTCGTCTGCACTTAAAGCGCCCGGATGTCGCCAGTCTTCAACAGCCCAGAACCACCGAGGCCCTGAGCAGATAACTCCGGTCCTGTTTTACAACCCGAGCCAGAGGCTTATCATTGCAGTCGCCATTCTGTGAGGCAGCAGAGAAAATTCCTGGATTCACCCAGCGACGCCTTAGTGACGAGATCAATGGCGGAAGAGTGCAGTTGTCTGCCGAGACGGCTCGAGCCAGGTCACGCAACAATTATTCCTTCGCCAGCTTAGGAATGACCGTAGGAAATACTTGGGTTGAAACAGCGAGCAGGCTTCAAGCGTTGATAACACTCAAAAACTCGGCAACGTTGTCCGCCAGGTTAGTGATGAACTCGTTGCACTGAGTGACTCTGTTCGCGAAGTGAATGGCTGCTTTATTGCTGACAACTCCGCCAAGTTTGAACGTTGGCGTGAGCCTTTCGAGCAACTTCTCAAATCTGATGAGCAATCCATCACATCCTCGCTCCCTCTCTAGTCTATACGGTATCGTGCGACGCCCTTTCTGAGGATGAAGTCGCCGATGCAATACAGAGGCTGTAGAACAAAAAGACGTCCTGAAAGGAGGGTATTTCGGCTAAAATCTGGTCAACACTCTGGCACCCTGACCCCGTGAGGTAACTGAGCAAGATACGGTCGTCCTTGGTGACTGGGCTTCGGACATCCCTGTGCCTGTCATCAAGAGCGGAAATAAGACGACTTACGAGAAGTACGATGACATAAACCACGCCAGCGTTGCTACAAAGGTCTTCGCTGTTGTCTCTCTCTCAGGCGATCCCGGATGTGTGTGACTCTGGGACGAGACTCAATCAAGCTGGGATACGAGATAGACGTGGGGCGCATTCTCGAATTCCGTCGCGGCTATTAGCAGTCAACTGTGGTCTGCTTTGTTGAATTCGTCGGGCCATGGATCTAGGTGAAATGCTCGCAATAACCATCGTCAAGAGCACAGCCCACTATCACTCCACTACTGTGCGAGTTCTGCTCCACAAAAATTTCTCCCAGCCGCCCAATATTCCGTCTGGTGCTTGACGAGATTTCATACTGTCGCCCATTCTGTCCAACTACAGTTAGTGACCTAACTCATGAAATGTGTCGAAATTTACAAATGGTTGCCAATCACTCACAAACCGACACCATTTCACGAGTCTAATGTCTATATTAATTAAGAACAAGTTTAAAAGAATTAAATACATGAAAGAATTATTATAGGCAGTGTTGCGTTGTTTAGAAATGTCGATTTATTTTGAAAAGCGCAATATCCCGAAAACGTCAGAAATGGCTCTAATTCAGTAAAGTTCGTTTTGGGATGCATAGAATGTATTCTCATACCAAAAACGTAGTAAATACGAAAGCAGACATAAAACAACGTCTAATAACAGTGTTTTAATGAAGTTTACATCTAAATATCGTTTAATAAGTAGCGTGATTTCATATATGACGGTTTGTCAACTGCCTACATTCTCAGTGTAGATTCTAAAACAGTTTTCCAGTGATTCCTGTTTTATTTAATTTCTCTGAAGTAAATGAGATGGGGTTCAACAAGCGAAGCTGAATTTTGGTTGATTTCGCCGATGGGGACGTCGTAGGGACAAAAGTTTTCATAAGGTGACATGCCATGAGGCCGGTCGGTGCCTAATAAATTTAAATAGAACTGACAGGCGTGATCGTAAACATACCATTTTATGTTTATAGCGAGAACTTTTCTTCCGTTAAATTACACTTATTTCATTGAAGGATGTGAGGGAGCGAACAGAAAGCTCAACGTTAAAGGCGTCCAGAAATTCTCCCATCATATTCCATTATCAGATTTCATGAGATATGTCACGTACTGTACGTTATTAACTGGATTCTCGGAAGGACCCTACACGGTTCTGACGGCGTTAAGATTGCGCCCGGACACCGGCTGACTGATCTCGACTTCGCTGACGATATCGCCTTGCTAGCCCCAGGCTTTAGTAATCTACAGTCTATGGCTCCACGGGTGAATGAAGTCGCTACTTCTGTCTGTTTACTCCCAAGGGCTGAGAAGACCAAATCGTTTCGGAGCTGCATAACTGACTGGGAGAGAGCACTCCTTGGGGTTAATGACCGTCAAAATGAAGAAGTAGACAGTTTAAGACACCTCGGAGCGAGACCGTTGTGAATGGGCAGAGCAAGGACGACATTGTCTCCTGAGTCGACGTTGCTTGCTTGGAAGATGAGCAAAAACTGGAGGCATTTGATCACCGCAGCCTGGAGACCATTCTTAGAGTGAAGTACACAGGTCTCATCTCAACTTATGCAGCCCGCACTCGCTGCGACTAAATCGCGAGGACATCTCATTCCACTCAAGAAAAACGACTGCGGTCCGGCGCCATTGCCGACCTTGAGGTGTCGACGTGGAGGTCGACTAAGAGCCTGGCTCAACACCCCGCCCTCTCCCCAGTTCGCCAAGACATGGAAGTGGTTCTGGGATCTTTGGTATTCGGTCTCCATCACTGGAGGAGAAAATGCTTCGATCCGATGAAGCAGATCGTCATGCTCGACATCATCGAGGCCGGCTGGGCCGGGTGATCACAGCTGTACCAAGTCTAAATAAGGCCGATGCAGATCCGATCGTACTAGTGCTGGCAGGTGCCCCAACTCGGAACAAAGGAGTCTGTTTCTTTTCTGAGAGCGTGGTTAAGGCGGTTAAGTGACTCCAGTGATGTGAAGGTCTACATACATCCAAACACGTTACCACCTGTTAGAGAACAACTCTGCGTTCGTCCTATAGTCACTTTATTACTATTTTAATCCTACTCAAATTAGCTAAGTAACATGTTTATATCGATATTTTTACTCCCCCGCCGCACCGAACTTCACCCACTGGCATGAGATCAGCCGGCAAAAAGCTAAAGCTTAGAAGAACATTGCTACAGCAATTTGGGCAAATAACTCTAAATTCGTACTAAATGCCGCCTTCATTAAGTCATCAAACATGCCTTAACGAAAGGTGTCAGAGTCCGAAACTCAGCATGCACAATGAACGAACCTGTAGTCCACTCGCGCCGGCCTGCAGGAACTGAAAACCGGCATCGGCAGAGTCAATACCTCCAGTCGCCAGGATTGGGAAGCCCGGAAGCGCATTTGCCACCGCGCTCACGGCCTTCAAAGCCATTGGTCGAATAGTATTTCCCGACACACCGCCATAGGTTGAACGCCTATCTTTTCCGACAGATGGCCAGGGTGTGGAGTCGCTGTGGAACTTCATTATGCCGGAGACGGTGTTGATCACTGTTACACCGTCGGCTCCGCCCTCCTGTGCCGCTCGAGCTATGTCAACTATGTTTGTTACATTGGGCGTCAACTTGGCGAAGACTGGAGTCCCCGGGCCTGCAACGGCCTTCACCCATTTGCAAATATCTCTAACGAGATCAGGATTCTGTCCACAGGCCAAACCCATCCCACGCTCGCCCATGCCGTGAGGACAGGACAGATTCAACTCAAGGGCATCGGGCAGCGCTTTCATGGTCATGTCGGTCAAAAGAGTCCAGTCGTTCTCATCGAACTTGGCCATTATGCTGGCGATCAAAATATTCCCAGGGAAGTCCCGTTTCAGTTCCTCAATACTCCGGCACCAGTAAGCGGCTGTCTTTTCACTGATGAGTTCGATATTACAGAAACCGGACTGTTCAGGTCCGAACATGTGGCCACCAGTTGGTCCACGGACTATTCGCGGAGACACATTGGTCACCAGGTCCTGGTCAAGACCATATGTCTTGGTAACCGCAAAACCCCAGCCCGCCTCAAACGCTCGTCGGATCATGGCACTGCTGGTCGTGGGTGGCGCCGATGCCAGCCCGAAGGGATTGGGAAACTTGAGACCGCAAATTGAGACGGAGGTATCCACCAGATCCACGGGCGTCGTGAATCGGGGCAGTACTTTCTCCTTGAAGGCAGTCTTACCTCCAGTTAACGCATAATGGATGCTCCAGGCTGCAGTCTTGCCATCATTCGTGGCCTCAACAGAGGTGTGTGAGAAACCCGTCAGGTCACCGCCACACCACACATCCGACTCACTAGTCCTCAACGTCTCCAAATCCACCACTGGAACACCCGACGAGAAGCCCTTAGATGTCAGCTTCAACGGTTTCATGGCTTCCATGACGTGGGCATCCGTCAGCCCGGCCCCATATGCCGTGATGATGTAGTCCACCTTGACCTTGACTATTTGGTCCGGATCGGACGTCCAACTGCCGTCATCATTCTGCTCTCGACGAATAAATTCCACGCCGACGATTCGCGGCTTTTGCCCTTGGGAGGAAGAAGCTTCATCCAGCAAGACGCGCTTGGGTTCGAGGAAAGGCAGGAATTCACACTTCTCCTGCCAGGCCAATTCAAACTCTTCCGGCACGGGGTTGATGGTGGTGAAGCCCTTACGGAAGGAGACGGTTACGCGTTTAGCACCGCATCGAAGAGCAGAGGTGGCGCAGTCGAAGGCTGTATCACCTGCTCCCAGAACGAGTACTCTGGCACCCGATAAATCGGGCAGTTTGGACTTGGCACAGGTGGAGGCGGCACAGTTCTTTGAGGCTGCACAGACTCTTGGAAGGAAGTCCTTGGAAGTGAGGTATCCGTTTTCTGGGGTGAGACCAGCGAAGACAGATGTTGAGTGGGCGTTGGGAAACCCCAGTCCTAGGAAGATGGCCTTGTAGTCTTGGTCGCGTAGTTTCTTGATCGTGACTGCATTGGTGTGGTTCTCTGTGGTGAAGGGATGATCAGTGAACACCTTCACTCCGAGATCCTTCATCATTTGGAGCTCAAAGTTGACAGCAGATCCTGGTAGTCGAAACTGTGGGATTTCTGTGGTGCTCAATCCACCCTCCTTGGTAGACTTTTCGAAAATATGCACGTTTCGGTAGCCAAGACGTGCCAGGTAGTTGGCGCATGAAATGCTCGCGGGGCCACAGCCGATGAGTGCAATTTTCTGGTCATAGATGGGATCGTCTTTCGTCCGAGTCGCGATCTTCGGATCAAGGATCTGCAAAGGCAAGAATTCTGGTTGTATTTTTTTGACAGCGATTATAGGGAAATACAGTGGCGGATTTCTTTTTGCCAAAATCTACGAAAGGTCTGTTGGAATTACCGACTCAGGGCATGCTCAACACGCCGGTTTTCTGATATGAAGTTTTTACAAACCTACGTGATTCCAATAAAAAAATATATATGTAGCATAGGAGAGGGACGACAGAGGATGTGGTTAAATTGTCTTAAAACTGTTTGCGGGTTTATTCTGCCTTCATTCGGCCAGTCATAGCCCTGACTGACAGACGCGACCTGAAGCTCGTAAACGGCGCAAAGGTCCACAGACGGCGTCTAGCAGATGGGTCATAAGAAAGTCATAGAACCGACGTTCGTTACTACCTTGCCACCTGTCATTCTCTCGCGCTACAAATAGGTGCACTCCGATCTATTGGCTTCTCGAAGGCAGAATAAGCCCGAAACGGTACTGTATCAATCTGTCCACATTCTCTGTCGTCCGTCCCCTCTGATAAGATAACATGGCCGACTTCGGTCTGATATATGATTGTTTGTTTGTGACCTTTGCCACCCATATGGACCTTTTTGCTTAGGGGAGCCAATAGAACGGTGTTCGCCTACTCCTGCTTTAGCATATATACATATATATATACATGGTAAATGTATTATACCGTACTCCCGACATAGATACTTGCTAAAAGCCCAGACACGTGTTTCGCCGATATTCTGCCGCTGCGTGACACAGCTGCGAGGGGTTCGGCTCTTTAGTGGGACCCCCAGCGTTCTCTAGCGGTCTCCGGTATATGAACTCCAGGGAATAATGACGTTGATTGACGAGGGGGAGGCTGACAAACATGCTGGCTCGCCAACAATTACGACGGCCGAAAAGGGGTCATTAGTGGCAGGAGCCCACCGGCGGTCAATCGTGGAGAGGTCAACGCTAATCGGCGGCGAACGGGCAGATCAAAGTTCGTGCCTCGCGCACGGATATAATACCAGGCAGGTATCAAGACAGACGCAATCAAAACCAGCAGGAACAGTCAACGCATTACTCTGATGATGGAAACGAGAGGGTTTCCGAAGCGTCAGTACAAATATAACTCGGTCCATGAATTCGCCCTATTTTCTTCTTCGTCTTCTTTGAGGGATGATGAACGCGATATATATATATATATATGTTTGTTCCTGCTAGCTCAGAGTTGTTCTGTCTCGCCGCCTGTCTCGTGTTATAAGCATGCCTGATACACGAACTCTGACCTGCTTGCTGGCGGGCGGGCGATTGGCTTAGGTCTCTCCGTGGCCGACCGCTGGGGCGCTGGTGTGAACTCTGCCTCCCGCCCGGCCGCTGTTGTCGCTGCTAGGTCCGTGTGCCCTTGGGCTCTCCCCCCATAATTTGACGGGCTGATCAGCTGCCGTTGCATGCGGGAATCGGGGTCGGCTGTTTGGGCGCGTCGGTGGGTCGATGTCTCGCGTCGGTCGTCTGACAGCCGGCTGGCTCTCTCCCCCTGCTGGGAAGGTAACAACTGTTGAGAGAGCCGCGATTTGTTCGCCAGTGCTGTCCGCCCCGTCCGAACTGACTGGAGCCTCGTACGAAGCGCCTGGTAGGCCGGATGAAGATCAATGGCTCTGCTGAATGGTAGGGGGGCGCTAACCGATCGTTCTTACGGATTTCACTTGTTCCGTTGTGCCTTATGAGCTCTCTCTCGAGCCCAACCAGCAGCCGCACAGCGGCTCATGATATAGGCAGAATGGCATTACCAACAAAGACAAGGGAGACTGGAATGGCCATTTCTGGCTTATTAGCCGTCGTTAGCCAGTCATACCTAACCCCGAAGTGTGCAACACCCGAGGCTCGAACTCGCGGCCTATATATATATTATATATATAGGCAAAAATTCTGACCCCAGGTGTTAAGATGGAAGAGGAAGATAAGGCGATCTCTGGGGAAGAAGGTTTATTCATCTGACGTTTCGTACTCGTACTCGAGCACATCATCGGAGATAGACCAAGTGAGAAATACACGGTTTAAATAGACCATCCGCTGTCGCCCCTCGCCAGTTTGCATTCTCTCGGCCGAGCACTTGGGCGCCGTCAAATTCTAACTTGTAATTATTTTCCAGACAGGGCATGGCGACGTGCGAGCGTACATCCTTTCGCCTTACGGCCAAAGTGTGCTCATGCATGCGCGTTTTTAGGCGTTTGTCGGTCATGTCACAGTAGTTGACTAGTCAATCCAGACATTACCGTGGTAAATGACGCCTGACGTGTCCACAGGTAGTAGCCGACCCTTGGGCTTCATGATTAAGCGGTTGATGGTAGCGTCCGGCCGGTGTCCAACGCTTCTCGGCCTCTGGGCTGCAGTGTGTGTGGATGCGGAAAAAACGTGTCCGGACACAATTGCGCTTATGCGACAGGGGATGGTTTGCTGTTTTACTGTAGAATTTTCCCCGTGTCTGCCGCCTTTCGAAGGACACCAGTCTGGATGGTTCCGTCTTCCTGTCTAGATACCTTGACGTCGAGGAAAGGGATCATTCCGTTATTTTCCTCCCCCTCGGTAAATTGGATTTGTGGAAAAACCGAGTCCAATTCCCTTTTAAAGTTGTTTTTCGCGTCTCGGTGTAGGATGACAAAGGTGTCGCCTACGTAGCGCATCCAGAATTTCGGCTTGTAGGTCTGAAACACCCCAGTTCCCAGTTCCTGCAAGACCGCCTCAGCCAGGTAGCCGGCGATTGGGGACCCCGTTGGGGTTCTCTGGATTTGCTCGTAAATTTGACCGTTAAACGTGAAGTACGTGCGTAAACAGTAGTCCAGTACAGTAGATGTGCTAACTCATGAAATGTCAACCAAAATTTCGAAACGCGTTCTCGTTTCGAAAAGACAGATTAAGTAGTGTTGTAAAACTAATCATGATGCAGCATAAATCTATAATGATCCAGTTACCCCGGGGTGTCGGCTTTCGAAAGAACTTATTTTCGGCGGCATGCAAGATCTATACTATGAAAAAATGACTACTTAAGTAGTATGCAATTTACTCATTGATTTTCGATGCCCTTAAAAATTCAATTATATTTCATGGAAAACATGCGTACAAATATTCATTCTTTTACCAATTCGTAGAAAATCACGTCTTCTTCCAATTTCTTACTGAAAAGAAGAGTATAATTCGGTTTTAAAAAAGTTTCTAATTTCCGAATAATTTTGAACCCGACCTGCTGTTACACTTGCATTCAGGGTTTCAAAACTACAAGCCGTATATTTTCCGCGTAGGGAAAACTATGCATTTCTCCACGCGTGCCTCCTATTAAAAGGTTTTCCTTCTTCGTTATGCCTTCACTTCAGTAGGTCATCGACTATTCTCATGACCAATTCTTTAGAGATGGAGGTGAATAGAGAGACGACGTCAAAAGATATCATATTAGCCCCCGACGAAATAATGGTATCTATTGACGTCGTCGTTCTATTCACCCTCATCCCTAAAGAATTGGCCATGAGAGTCCCTGGTCTTCCTCACTGCGGGATTGAATGTGACTGGCTGGCGACGGCTTATGAGTCAGAAGTGGCCATTTCAGTATCCCTAGTACATTCTCAGCATTTCATCCTTTCCTATAAGCACTCGTTGCGGAAACGACAGACCGTCTCCTACTGCTTCCACGCATGCAAAATTTATGGCCGGAAAGACATTAATCAGTCTCCGGCGCAGACTTTCGACTTCGCAGTCCTTTATGGCATAGCGAAACCATATTTTTGGCTTGATGGTCTAAACAACCTCTTCTTCTAGTCGTTGTCATACTGATTCAGTGGCTAGTCCTGACATTGGCGAGCCCATCTGGGTTCAAGGTCGCTCTCCTTCAGAATGTCCCGTTTGCAAGATCATTTATAGTCAGAGTTGTGCATACCTCTCTTGACACAGTCGGGCATTACAACATACAGTCCTTGGAGGCAGCTGGTCTTGACCTAGCCTGCACCACAAACGCTCAGTCAGCACACACCCCATCGTTGTCTGGGGCGGTAACTTGGAGTTCTGCGCAAAACGGATGCCTCAGTCTATTGTCTTTCGTCCCCTCCTGCTAAATGGGACATTACCTGACGAATGTAGCCTCAAGGTGCCCCTCCCTTATCTAGGTCGCTGTAGAATCACCATCACAATTATGAGAAGAGGAAGAAGAGGATGAGGAGGAGGAGGAGGAGGAGGAGGAGGGGGAGGAGGAGGGGGAAGGAGGAGTAGGATAACGATGAATAGTAGAAGTAGAAGCAGTAATAGTAGTAGTAGT